TCGTGGAGTCCTATCCTGTCTGCAGCTACCTCCTTAGTCCCAGCCTTCTCCTGCGTGTAGGTCATTCTTCCTGTACTACAGAGGAAAGATGTGTGAAGGCTTTCCTGAACAGTCACATTTCAAGAAAACAATATTTAGGACGTATCACCTAGGCAACAGAGCATGTAATACATGCCCCAAATCCGTCACACTCGTCTTAAGCAATAAGCTCTGGCTGGAGTGAGTGACATGCTTTGTAATTAGGTCCAGGGACTGATTTCTCCCCCTAAAAGCATGCAAAAATGCATGGGCCAAATTCTGGGGCAAGTTCATCAATTTCACATCTGGAAGTGGCTGATCATAATCGATGTAAAAGTGGATTAAGTATGAGTTAAAATCATTTGCAGCAGTGTCTCGTCCTCAAATCTGAAGGTGAACATGAAAGGAGCAAAATATACTCATCTACAAAGTTCAATCAAGATGACCTTGATGTCTCCTGAGGATAAACAACCGGATGTAAACAAAGCTACATGTGCACAAACAGGAGTGTGTTTCCAAAAGTGGAGAAAAAAGAATATTAAAAAAGTATTGGAAAGTCAGATTTATAGAAACAAGGAGACACAGAGAGGAAGACCTTCCATCTGCTGGTTCACTCCCCAAGTGGCTGTGACAGCCGGAGCTGATCTAATCTGAAGCCAGAAGCCAGGAGCTACTTCCAGGTCTCCAAGGTGGGTGCAGGGACCCAAGGCTTTGGGCTGTCCTCAACTGCTTTCCCAGGCCACAAGCAGGGAGCTGGAAGGGAAGCGGGGCAGCCAGGACACACGGGCACCCATATGGGACCTTGGTGCATGCAAGGTGAGGATTTAGCCATCAGGTCATCGTGCTGAGCTGTACATAAATTACAATGATTTTTAAAGATTTACATTAAAATACTGTGCATTTAATCCTGGGGAAAGTTTTAAAAGAGAAACATACTGGGGGTCACACCTGAAATAAAAGTTAGCTCTTCTTTATTTATTTACTAGAGAGATGTTAGGCAGTATTCAAAATATTGACAGTGTTTAATGCTGTGTATTGACCTTATGCTGAGTATATAGCCTTTCATGATCTTTTTCCTTTCCTTTTTTCCTTTCCTATCGGCCTGGAGTTTGTTCCTGGAGTCCCCTGGTCTGTCCTTGGTCTGGCTGTCCGGGGCAGCCTGGCTCTTTGCCTCACCTACACGTTGGCATTCTGTCTGCTCTCCCGGTGCTGGGGAGATAGTGTTTTAAATAATCCTGCGATCTAGCCCACAGTGTTTGGGTGCTGGCCATTCCATCCTATGCCTGGGACAGTAGATCTTTTCTAACCAGCGTTTCTCTCGCTCTCTCTTCCCCTCCCCAGGTCCCCAGGGGCTGTGCTGACTCCAGTAGCAAAGCCTCAAAGTGCCATTGTGTCTCCCTGGCTGGGCATACACATTTCAGCTGTCTGTACCTACGGCAGGTGGGGGGCTTGTGCTGTGCTCTGAAAGTTTGCAACTCTTTGCCACTTTGCCACTGCACTCTGCTGTGGGGAGAGGGACACTTCGCTCTTTAACAGTCTTCTGTCCCTGACAGTGAGTCGTTATTCAGGCACCCAAAGGATGAAGGGCCTTTCTAACCTCATCAAAATGGAAAGAAAGCCTTGGCTTAAATTCAGTCAAGCATTTTTGAATGGTTGAAATTGCTCCTAAATTGGTTCTGTTTGAGTTTTTTCTCATGCTTCAGACTGTTCCAGGCAGGGTTACTCATGGAGAAGTAGCCAAGGCATTTTGAAATCAAGAGGTTGACTTTGAAAGGCGTCTGCCCACCTGGAGTCAAGCCCAAGGCACATTGGCCGTGCTCTGGTGTCGCCACCTCTCACACTCTTTGCTTGTACTATGACTTGCTTTGAACACAGTGGAGGAAGAACACCGAGGGGGTATTTTCCAAATAAAGCTCTTTGGATAATCGCAGTGTTAACGAATGTCTGTGGAGTGCATTCTTGTCACTGCTGCCAGGGCTGTTGGACTGAGTTCCTAAGACAGGTTCTTAGCAAGTCGCCGCCCTGCTTGGAAACCGTTGCTGGGTCTCCTGTGTGAGGAAGGCTGACCTCTTCCGTGCAGTGTTACAAAACCTTTCCCATTTAACACCAACCTCCCTCTTCCTTTCCTTTCTTCCATTCCCCGCATTGAAAGCACGCGGCCATTCCCTGCCTTTATGTGGTTGCCTCCTGCACCAGGTCTTGTGTTCACTCTCTGGGCTCCTTAAAGCCACACACCCCGTCCTCAACTGGAGCACCCCACGATCACACAAACTTGATTGGTTGTTCTTCTCCTCTGGATATGGTACCTTCTGGGTGAGTAGGATTAAGTCAGCATCGAGGTCTCCCCACAATTATGATGACGCTATGGTTTCCAAGCCCCATACTCATTCAACAGAATCAGTCCCCAGGCAACTGTGGGTTTGAAACAGTTCTCCACAGATTCTGACAAGCGGTCATGGGAATCAGCGCCCCAGAATGGAGTGTGCATTTTCCATGTGCGGCAGCCAAGTGCCAACTCGGAGGAAACAGAAGGAGGGGTGAAGAGACTGGGAGCCCCTTGTGAAAAAATGTCACTGAGGACTTGCTCCATGCCAGGTCCTGCCCTAGGAGCCTTTACACCTGCCCATGTAGCCTCTCCTACTCTGAAAAGAAGATGACACAACACACGTTACAAGTAAGCAGAAACCAAAGGCCCTAGTGGATAGATGCTATGCTCAACACCGGGATCCCATATGGGCGCCGGTTCTAATCCCGGCAGCCCCGCTTCCCATCCAGCTCCCTGCTTGTGGCTTGGGAAAGCAGTTGAGGACGGCCCAAAGCCTTGGGACCCTGCACCCGCGTGGGAAACCTGGAAGAAGCTCCTGGCTCCTGGCTTTGGATCGGTTCAGCTCCAACCATTGCGCTCATTTGGGGAGTGAGTCAATGGATGGAAGATCTTGCTCTCTGTCTCTCCTCCTCTCTGTATATCTGACTTTCCAATAAAAATGAAGTAATTAAAAAAAATGGGAATTGGAACCAAAGTGACTTGGAAATATTGATATGAGGTATAGTTCAGGGAAGAAAGCACCATGCGATTTTGTAACTCCGGAGCCTTTTAGATGTGTGAGTGTGTTTTTGTGTATTTGCGTGGTTTTGTGAACGTATAGGACAATATGGGAGTTTGTTCACATGGGGTGGGAGGGCTGCTCGTGTTAGGGAGTGATGAAAAAAGGGAAGGAACAAGTCAAGAAAAAAAAAAAGAGGGAGAAAGGTTGATAAAAACTGTCATCATCTTAGGAGCAGATATGTGGTTCTAGCAGTCTGCACCCCACATTGGAGTGCCTGGGTTCAAGACCCGGTTCCAGCTGCGGATTTCCGCTTCCTACTGATGCAGATGCTGGGGGGTCACCCCATGGCTCCAGCGGCCACTCCCTGCCACCCCCGTGGGAGATCTGGATGGAGCTCTGGCTTCTGACTCAGAAGCTTGTAGGGGGGGAAATGAACCAACAGATATGAGCTCTCTAAATGATCTAAAAGGTAGTATCGGCATGTGTGCACGAAGTTTTAACAACATACTATGTATTTGAAAATTCAAAAGACTCAACAATGCAAATCTAATGAGTTCACTCCTCTACCTAAACTCTGTCGGCGGCTTCCAATTAACCTGGGGATAAATCCAGGTGTCCTAGCTGCAGAGATCCAGTGTTCCCCTCTTCCCACCCACCTTATAGAGCCCCATCCTTCCTCTCCCCGGGGACCCTGACATCTGCCCGAGCTCACTGCCTGTTATATATTTTTTTTCCTCCTACCCTGTGCAAGGCACCCTCCCCTATTTTCCTGGATGATTCGTGTCTACTTCATACAGTTGGTGTGTACATACAACATAACGGTTTTGGGAAGTGGCTATCACGGTCTGGGTCTCGGCTTTGGTATCCACGTCTCAGAAGGTCTTCCGGCCCCTGGGCATGGCTGGGTATCCTGATATTCACTTTTTTGCTTCTCTGTCCTGACTACGTTCCTACTTTCCAGCTGCAGGTGACAGTTTGCTTATTGTATCTGGGTAGAGTCAGAGCGCATGGAAATGCACGGTGGGCTGCACCTGCCATCTCCCTTCCAGCCCTTCTCCTCGCCTATGACCCTCTTAGCTATGACGAGGCCTTCTTGTGTTCCAGGGGGAGCAGGTTCTTCATGCCTGGGACTACCTATGATCCTTAGCTGCTTGGGGTTCCCACCCCACACCCCTCTTCTTCTGTCCCACAGTGAGGAACCCCAGACAGGGGAGCCTTCCTTCATTTCTACCCCTGTGGAAGGGCCTGTGCCCAGGGATCATGCTGGGGCTGACAGGAGGCTAAAGTGAAGGCGACTTAAAATTCTAGAATGTGTCTGGAGCAGCTGGGGAGGACGCTGGCTGTGTCACCAAGGAACTGGCTGAGGCAGGCGTGAAGGGAGCTGACAGGGGCACAGCAGGTGACTTCCTAAGCAGAGTCATAGCGAAGTCCGTGCGTTGGTACACCATACTGTGGATCGACTCTTTGAATGACTTTATTTCTGCAGGCAATGGCATTGTGGTGCTCACACCACGGAGAAAGGAAGATAAGACTTAACAACTCTGCTTTTCCAGGACACCTGGGGGAGCCAGCTTTCCATCAAGGTCACCGCACTCAGGAAACTTCAAACATTCCGATTTCAGAAGGAGGGAAAAGCGTGGGACTCCGTTAGGCTCTCTGAGACCTGGGTGCGTTAATTCCAAGAGCTTTTTCTATTAAAGAGCCGGAGCTTCCCATCCCGCCTGCGGTTGCCCTGTCCTCTGTTTAGAGGATTGAGCGGGATCACAGCTCCCATTAACACGAGGGGAGGTTTCACATGTAAATCCTTCACAGACAAAGAGCCCCGGGGAGTGACCTTGCTGGGGAAGCACAACTTGGGTGTTAGTTTTTTGTTTTTTTGTTTTTTGTTTTTTGCTCCTAGAAAAATTGTGTCCTTGGTGACCGGTCCTGGAAGCTGGTGGGGCGGGGGCAGCTGTCAGTCGGAGGGTTTTGCCTGCTTTTCTTTGTCGTCGGGATTGTCCAGCATGCTCAGTCTTTTCTCCAGCCTCTGCTTCCATTCTTCTCGGAGCCTGAGGGAGAGGAAGGAGGCATGCGGTTAGCAGCAGATGCATCTCCACATCGGCAGGTCCATGGATGCCTTTCTCGGTTCACTCCTCTGAGACCAACAGCAGCGGAGGCTGGGCCAGGCACAAGCCAGGAGCCTAGAGCTCAAGTCTCCAGTGTGGGTGACAGCGACTCAACTACGTACAAGTTTGCGGGAAGTTGGTCCTCGGAACAGGGCCAGCAATCAGACTCAGGCGTTCAGACATGGAATGGAGGCGTTCCAAGTGATGGGGCTAAATGCCCGTTAGCAGTGTTTTAAAAAGAAGTCAATGGCCTTACAAAATGAGTGGACAGAAATTATGCAAAAAACAGTCCCTTAATTGAATGCTTGATAAAATGATAAAGGGGTGTCTGTGTAATGCCAATCAAAATCCCAGTAAGATTTCCATGTCACTATCAACAAGACAATTTTACATTTTAGACAGAAATGCAAAACAGAGACGTAGATTAGCCGCCAAAATTATTTTGAAAAAGAACGAAATTGGAGTGATATGGTACAACGGAGGCAGTTAGCTTAAAAAAGAAAATTCAGCAAGGTGGAATTCTTAGACTTTTACAAAGTAATGTCTATTTCTTTAACTGTCATCTTGGTATGCTCATTTCTAAGAACAAATCTTAAAATTAAAAAAAAAAAAAAAGAAAGAAAGTGTGGGGACGGAAGTACCAGTGGTAATCATTGTTTAAGAGTAGCTCAGAGCCCAGCGATGGCATAGTGACTAAAACCCTCGCCTTGAACATGCCGGGATCTCATATGGGCACTGGTTCTAATCCCGGCAGCCCTACTTCCCATCCACCTCCCTACTTGGGGCCTGGGAAAGCAGTCGAGGACGGCCAGTGAACTCACAAGTGTGTGCTAACCCCATTCCACACCCTGTTCCCCCTCGCTGGGATAGCCCAGAGCAAGGAGCGAATCTTAAGACATGATGGCTTTGTTCCGTCACCCACAGAGGGATTAGTGGGAAATTTTGAGGCTATTTGTCTTTCTTGTTAACTCAGAGCTACTCTTAAACACAGTACATTGGGTTTGCCCTTCGTGAATAAAGATGAGAATGTTATGTGTTTATGTGATGGGATCTAGCTTGGTTGTCATGTTGGAGCGAAGTCCTGCTGATTTCTGGGATATATAGCCCCTTCCACAATTTATCTAACTCTCACAAACCAACTCAGTACTTCTGCCCCAGACCATGCTGGAAGCAGGCACTGCGCAACAACAACAACAACAAAAAAATGCATTCCTATCGTTTAAAGCCTTCTGGTATGATACAAATCAGTCAATTCTAAAGCATACACTCCACCCCATCTTGCTATTCCCATGGAAAACCCAAAGAAGGTTCTGGAACAGAGCTCCTCCACCTCCAGCCACTGCCTTCTGCCTCCTGGCAGTGGCTCCCCCTTGGCCCCATGGGGGATCTGATGACTCCCTCTCTGGGACCTGTGTGCACGCATGGCACCATGTGCAACAATCAAACCTGCTCCATCCTGCCACCCCTCACCTCTCCCCCACGGCTCCATCTTCACCTCTACTGTATTTCGGGGAAACCTCAGCTAAAAGTAACAGCAAAGCAACCCACATACTTTCTCAGGGCGCTCCTCCCACGGCGGTCCTCCTCCAGTTCGCGGTAACAGGTCTGTTTGCTAATTTCCTTTTCCCAGAAGCTCTTGAGTTCATCACAAGTTTCGCAGCAGAAGACCTCCCGGCGGATGTATTGATTGTTCATCTGAAACACATCAGAAAACACAGATCCCATTCTATGTCCTTTGGAGTGACAGCAAGATGTGGCTTTGGGTGAGTAACTCCTTTCATTACCAGTGGAGTAGAGTATATCTAGAGGAAAGTGTTTCCTACATGGCCTGCCATTCACCTCCCCAAACAGCCCCAATCTACCCACATGCTACATGCCTGTATTCAGGAAGCTCACAGTCTAATGTTCCACATTGGCAAGACTCAAAAAATGTTAACTGGTGTGGCATTTTTGCCGCGGAGCTGAGGCCCTAGAGTGCCTGGGTTCAATTCCCAACTTTGTCTCCTGATTCAAGCTTCCTACTGATGCAGATTCTGGGAGGTTGCAGTGATGCCTCAAGTACTTACATCCAAGCAACCCACAGGGGAGACCTGAATTGAGTTCCTGGTTCCCTGCTGTGACCCTGCCCAACCCCAGCCATGTGTAGTGAATCAGTGGATAGGAACTCTGTCTGTAGGTCAAATAAATAAATGAGGATGTTAAGGGACGATGTTTGGCACGTGGGTTAAGCTTGCATCTCGTATCAGAGTGGGTTTGATTCATAGGACCAGCTCTATATTCCAGCTTCCTGGTAAGGTATACTTGACGGCTAGAGTTAATGAATCCTCGACATACATATGAGAGGCTTGGAGTGTCTTTGTGGCTCAGGGTTTCAGCCTGGCCCAGCCTTGGTTGCTGTGGGTACTTGGGGGAGTGGACAAGCAGATGGGAGCTCAATCACTGAAAACAACGTTAACTGAATTGGCTTTACCTGCCCCCCTCACCCCCCGCCCCCGACACATCTCTCTGGCTTGGAGCTTCTACACAACACCAAATGCTTTGCTTCTTCACTCAGCCTGTATTTAAAGTTTATTTATCTCTGTTGCCGGGCTGTCAGAATTAGAAAGCCTCAGATCACAGGGATAAGAGGCTTCCCATTTTGTCCAAGACCCAGTGTTGGAATGTGTCCAGGGAGGCCTTTAGCAAAGCTCTTGGTGATGAGTTTCACCCTTATACCATTTAGGATGTGATATTTGTGAGCTCTCCTGGTCAGGACTTATAATCACATTCACAGAGTGATGCTGGGCATGTTTAAGAAGTGACTCTTACTGAAGTTGGCAGTTGCCACCGTCCCAACAATTGGACACAATCCCCCTGTGTTATTTCACAGCCTAGCCGTTTGTTTTCTTTTTTTTTTTTTTTTTAAAGATTTATTTTTATTATTTTTTCATTGGAAAGGCGGATATACAGAGAGGAGAGACAGAGAGGAAGATCTTCCGTCCGATGATTCACTCCCCAAGTGAGCGCAACGGGCCGATACTATGCCGATCCGAAGCCAGGAGCCTCTTCCGGGTCTCCCACACGGGTGCAGGTTCCCAAAGCTTTGGGCCGTCCTCGACTGCTTTCCCAGGCCACAGGCAGGGAGCTGGAAGGGAAGCGGGGCTGCCGGGATTAGAACCGGCGCCCATATGGGATCCCGGGGGTGCAAGGCGAGGACCTTTAACCACTTGCGCCACTGCGCCGGGCCCTAGCCGTTTGTTTTCTTGGAAACTCGAGCTCCAGCTGCTAGGATTCTGACAACTTGTAGAGCTGTAAGTGGCATTTGGGTGTAGATGAGTTGGGCCATCCTCCTTTCCTCTCATTTTCCCCCTTGCCTTTCATGCGTTGCTCCCATGGGTGGCACAGAGGTAGCTGGTTTTGGCCACTTTGTGCCCCAGAGAATTCATAGAAATTTTAGAAAAAAAACAAAAAAGCCTCTTGGGAGATAACAGAACACAGCAAGAGAGAGGAATAAAAACTTTTCCATTGGAATATTGAGGGGGAAACCCGGACTCTGACCATTGTTCCCACGGCACCTGCACTTCCTGCAGACTGAGATAATCAACTCGCTTAGTCTCCTGTGAGGATGAAAAGCCGCTGTTTTCTCAGTCTCTCTCAGAGACCAGGAAAAGGGGAGGGCTGGCTGCTGTGATCTCTGGCGGGATGACTCAGTCATGTTTTCATTGTCACAACAAAAAAATAGAAGAAATACCAACAAAAGACACTAGTGGGTACTGCAGAGCGCCGGAGAGCTGGGAGGTAAAACCATTGTTCAACAGGAGGAAGTTCTCAAACTCAGCTGTGTCCATTCTGTCCTAGAGCAATTGAGGTTTCCTTTTGATATAAATCTAATTGCAAATCTTTACTCTCACACCTTCTAATCACCTGTTATCTTCACCCCGACGTATGCAGAGGAGATGAAGCGATGAGCCTTCTCTGGTATATACCCGTGATCTTTTTATGGCTTTTTAGTCCCCTCTAATCCGGGGTTTCTCTAAGAACAGGGTATTCCTTCCACGCACCCCCCCTTTGGTATCCAAACAATTGTCTTGCCCTCGATGCCCAATGGCTCAAAAATCAGGAACAGCATATCAAAAGAACTGTGGCCAGAAACGCACACGTATGGGTTATTCTGGTGGTTTTCATAAGGAGTATTTAGGAATAATATCTGTTCCCCCATCTCCCTTAACATGTATCAGGTTACTTGTGTTTATATTTTAGGTGATCTGATGCTGATAAATCAGGGAGTTGGAGAGAGCCATTTCTTAAGACAGGCGGGAGAGCAAGATGCATTGGTATAGAGAGCTAACACCCAGCCCTGGAGCCACAACGGGCAGTGGAAGGGAGTTCATGGACAGAGCCACCTGCCCACACTATGGGGTCAGGTCAAGCCCGCCTCGCCGATGGGCTGCCAGTGGATGGAATTGGCCCTTATTTTTATGCTCTTTAGGGCATACGCAACTAAATGCCCCCAGTTTCCAGGGTGTGCCCTACAACTGAACTTCAGTCCTCACAACCACCTCATTCTTACCCTCCGTTTACAGAGGAAGTACCAGCCGGCACTGCTGAAAGCCTGGGTTTGACAGTGGTGGAGTTGGGATTGAAAATCTGTCTAGCTCCAAAGCTTGTGCTGTCATCGCTCCACGCAGCTCGCCAGAGGGAAGGAGAGCGGCTGGCCCATGGGAAGAGCCGAATGCCGGGAGAAGTGCGCATCCTGGTTGAATTTGCAATGAAATCATCCACTGTTTGCCAAGGCAGGACTAGAGAAGCTTATTTCCCCCCCGAAGATGCATCAAGGCAAACTTCTCCGATACTTTGAGTCAGAAGTGTCCGCTGTCACCAGTGACTTGTGCGTCCCGATAAGAACCAAAAACACACTGGGTGACTTGATATTAGTGCTTTGTCAAATGTGTCCTCCCCTTGCACCCTTCAGTTCCCCTCCGATGGTCTTCCTCACTCATGGTGGAGGTCTCTCTAGGTCTGAGGTTTGCCAGGTGCAGCTGCTCAGATGACACCAGCTGCCTGTGGTCCTCACACCACATGATTCCTCCTCCCATCCCACCATCATGCCCCGTGCACACACTGGTGAAGGGGACATGAGGACATGAGACTCGAAATCTCAAAACCTCGTATATATCTGCCCCAAAACTGTGTTAAGTTACTGTGATGGTTTTCACAAATGAGCACAAATTCTTTGGTGTTCATCCTCGCCCCCAGTGGATGAAGCTGAGTTTCCCAGCCACGAAGACAGGGAAGCCCTGGTGAGCAGAGGAGCCGGGAAGAATAAGAACTTGACAGTGGAGAAAGAAATACCATCTCCTCCTTCTGCTAGTGGTTACGGGCCACACCACCAGGAACGGGTCTTGTTGGTAGGAGCTGCCGCTGGTGGGACAGATCATGTTGCCTCTGCAGGGTAACTCCTCTAAGTCCGGAAAGCTGGAGTCTATTTGTGAGAAAACTGAAGATGAACTCAAAGACAGGGAGGGGCCTTCTACAAAACACCTGACTAGCCCTCATTAAAAGTGTCAAGGTCATGAAAGAGAAGAGTGAAAAACTAGTGCTGTTGGGAGGAGAACGGGAGATATGCTAAGAGGATACTTCAAAAAGGGTTTGAAAACATAAAATTGAAAGTTTATTTTGGTGCAAAAAATTTCAAGGTTCATGCATAGCTTTTTTTTTTTTATGTATTTCCATGAACTTGTTGAAGACTTTTCATATATGATATATATAATACATATGTATGTATATGATTATATATTTATTTTTTGCTGATTTAGGATTTAAAGCATTACATTGCAGTTTTACATACATTATGGATTTATGCTATATATATTATACACATAAATGTATAGATATAAACATACATACATTATATATGTCATATATATTATATACATAGCTTTCATCTGAAAAAAAAACTGCCATAACTGAAAGCTTTGCACCTTACACGGTGATTCACAAAATCCTGAATTGTCTATTATATCCATGCTGTTGGTGACCTGTAAATCAGAGGTCACACACTCAACAGCCTATAGGGTTCAGGTGGAAGAAGGCCCTGTGTTAGGGGAGTTCTAGACTCAGGGCTGTTTAAAGGAGAAACTGCCACTTAGCTCCCACGATAGTTGGTTGCTAGTGGAGTTTTTTTTTTTAAAGAAACTAGAGCTCTTGATTTTTAAAAAATGTAACGTTTTCTTATTTTTAAATGTTGGTAATGAATTTGAGACATGACACTAACCCCAGAGTTTGAGTTCTACCTGGACTACCACATTAATCTCTGAGTTCCCCATGGGCGAGTTCCGCAGGGGTCTCACACACTGGAGGATACGTAGTTAAAACACTACACTACAGATAAAACAAACGCCACCCTGGCACTGATGGTCACTGCAGTGTGTGTCCAGTTGCGACCAGAAGGGACCTGGGAAGCCCCTTGTCTCATCCTGCATGTATGGAGACATGACTGGCTGCCCAATTCCACTGAGGTGCTTTCAACTAGCCTCTTAGCTACTAGTGCCATGAGTTAATATGGTGCCTTTTGGGTAGTTGGTCCAATGGACCAAGAACCTATATGTTCCCTTATGTTGACACCATTCATCCAGTCAGTCAAAATTCTCCAGAGGATTCCAAGGAAAATGTGATCGCTTCTGCAGAGAATTTTATATACTGCTGCCATGAAAAACCTTTGGGATGATAAGCCGGCCAAATTACATTTGTTTAAAATATCATTTCTCCTCTTTCCAACAACAGCCAGCCATGTGGGAAGCTGAATTTCACTAATCAGCATTATTTTTTTTTTTGTCTGAATATAAAATGGGCTCTTTTTTTCACTTAATAAATTAAGACTTTCCCAGCATACATATTCTTTCATGGCTATGCAATTATCTGAAGTGAACAGACCATATTTATTAAATTATTCTTGTACTGATGAACTTTTAAATCCAACTCCATTTGAGTCTATTACAAAGAATTCCAATGTGAATACTATCCATTCTTCACATTTAAGAATGTAGAATAATTCTTCAAACTGTAGGCCAAAGTTCACCTCCCGTAGAATATTTGGTGTGCAATTCTGTCTTTCCCTCTATATTTGTGTGACAGTTGGAATGAAGTACTTTTTAAATAAAGGTACTTCTAGCCTCCCAAAGGTAGAAAAGAGCAGGTTGTTAATGTCATTGCCTCATAGCGAAAAGACATAAGCACAGCTTGGGGTCTTTGAGGATTATGGAAAAGATACTGTGCTTTAAAGTCTATGAGTTGCAGTATTGGATCTAAAGGTTTGACAAGCTCTCGACTTCAAAGGTCAGGAAAGTCTTCAACATTAAGATCCAGGGCACAACCTGTGTCTTCAAAACCCAGGGCTTTGTATTTCGGTTTCTTTACTTCCAAATGAGCGTAGCTGGTTGCCTTGCACATCAACAACTAGGTGGGTGTGCAGCAAAAGGGGGCTGATTGACGATAAAGGCACAGAATGGCACATCTCTGCCTCACCCTCCACAGAAGTCATTTGTAACTGGAATTTACATCTCCTGGGGGAAGTTGTTGCACTTGGAACATCACCATCAGTCAGAAGATTCAATTCCAACCGTATTCCTTACATTTACTGATTAACTGAAAGAATACTGGAATCCACCTTCAAGTCTATTTTAAATAACAGCAATTTAATTACACATTTATTGAACTTGAATTTCATGAGGGTCATGCACTTCTGCCTATCCAATAAGAAGCTACAGAACAGTTAACTATATAAACTAAAGCAAGAAGAAAGTTCTACAGGTAAATTCCCAAGTCCCACGTTACTCAGACAATGAAAATCCCCCAACTGAAGATGAAGTTCCCTAACCACCAGCTTCCTAAGATGCTCTTGTGGTCTGATACTCTTAAGAGATAGATTGCTGAACTTGGTTAACCTTGAAGCCTCACTCAATGAGACTGCTATCTGTTTTTTTTTTTTTTTTAACACTCTTCAACTGACATTTAGGAAAGAATGGAAAAATCAGAAATGGAAAACATCTGTTCATCTTAAATTATTCCCAATTGGTACAAGGTGGAGTGTTCCAGGTAAAGGGTTAATGGATCCAAGTGAGTAACAAAGAACATAAAGAGTGGTACCTTCTTCAATCCCCAAGCCAAAATCTGAACCATAACTGAAATACAAAGTCAACACACTGTACCTTCAAGATGACCTTGTAGGTGAGCAGACAGCCTGGCTCCTGCGTCCTCAGCCCTGGTTTGGGAAGGCCACAGATGCTGTTCAGAAATCTCATTGTTGCAGCTTTTTATATGTGGGGCGCAAGAGGTACTGAAATCCCTCAGCCTTTCGAGGTCATTTGAGCCAAATTAGTAGCAGAATCAGACCATTTTTCCAGGGACATTGTAGCCTTTCCATGTGGTGAAAGATGGCTTTAAACAAATTCCGTGTCTTGCTAACCCAACTCTCCCCTTGGGCGGGCGAGCTTCTGTTTTGGCAGGTCCCATGAGTGCTATGACTTGGCCTCGACCAGGAGAGATGATGCTGGACAAGCACTGGATTATCCATGTGCCTTGCTCCTCTGTGACTTGTGAAAAGCCACCGTCTGGCCCTTGGTGTGCAAGGGGGACTGGAATGGCGGGACCAGTCACACTTGGGTGTAACGTTACAGGAAGACTTAGAGAGGCAGCTTGTTCTTTGGAGCTATTAATCCTTGCCTGGAATCTGCTGATGACATGTCGTGGTCTGCTGAGTTCTCTGCCACTTGGTGCAGGAATTGACCCCTGGGGAGTGTTTTCCAATAAAATGCATCCAAGTGAGATGGACTTCTCATTTTAGAGTGGCACTTATCCCATTTTGGAGGAGCACATTTTGTCCTTAGGAAAACATTTAGAATACTCACTCATCTGAAAACAGAAATAGCTCTGGTTTTCATCAAATCCCTTGGCTATGCTACTAATTGCATACTCATTACCTGGCTCAACGGATAATAAATTTTAACTTACATTACACATGACAACCTCGCCTAATGTTGATGTCCAAATTTTATCTTGTTGAAGTGATTCTATTTAATGTCGAGTCTGTGAAATTATCTCAATGAACTCATTTACTTTATTATTATTATTTTTCATTTGGAAAGGCGGATATACAGAGAGGAAGATCCTCCGTCCGATGATTCACTCCCCAAGTGAGCGCAACGGCCGATGCTATGCCGATCCGAAGCCAGGAGCCTCTTCCGGGTCTCCCACGCGGGTGCAGGGTCCCAAAGCTTTGGGCTGTCCTCGACTGCTTTCCCAGGCCACAGGCAGGGAGCTGGATGGGAAGCGGGGCTGCCGGGATAGAACCGGCGCCCATATGGGATCCCAGGCGTGCAGGGCGAGGACCTTTAACCACTTGCGCAACCGCGCCGGGCCCGAACTCATTTACTTTAAACTGTATTTATACCCACGGGGTTTCGTACGTAGCGTTCCGTCTGTCCGCTGCTGCCACCGTCGGGCAGGCGCTGTGCCCCGGGCTCGCTCCGGGACCGACGGGCTCAGGCTATCCCTGTCTTTTCCTTTTTCCTTCCGCATCAGACAGCTCCTCGTGGCGACCCCCAGCGCGCAAGCGGGATGCGCGGCTTGGGGGTCGGAGCGGGTGCAGAGAGTCAGGGGCGTCCCCCTCTTTTGTCCTCTCCTGGGGTTGGGGGTGCAAGGACGGGGTGTGCCCCGCAGCCTTGGTCTACTCCGTAGTTCTAATCAGAGCGTGGTCTTCGGGTCTGAGCGGAAGAGACTGGCAGGGAAGGAAAGCGTAGTAGGACAAACTACCTGCTAGTGAGTGGCCTGCGCGCGTCTCTTTCTGGGCAGGGGCGCGTGCGAACTGAAAGGCGCGGCTTTTTTTCCCCCTCTATGTGCAAAAATATAAGTATACCCAATTTAATAGTAAAATTAAATTTTACAGGAAAGCTTTTTTTTTTTTTAAAATAAGGAGAGTTAATTTTGAAAACAATGTTTCCAGGGTGCCACTTACACAAAACCAACAATTCAAGGAGAAAATACAATAAAAATGTCACAGAAGTGTTTCATATATGTACATACACGCATTAATTCTGTTTAAAAATGCAGAGAAATAAAATAGCAGAAAATAATTACAAAAAGTTTATTTTAAAATATTTTTCCCTCTTCCTTTTCTTCCCCTCCCTTCTTCCCTGCCCTCGTTTTCCTTCTTTCCTCCTCTCTCTTTTGTCATAGTTATTCCAAAAGCTGTGCAATTATTTTAATTGCATGTGATTCCTCAGCATTTTTTTAAGCCATTAGCAGGATTCTAAATGAAAGTTTATGAAAATATATCTTTTTAAAAATATATATGTTTATTTATTATTGCAAAGTCAGATTTGCACAGAAAAGGAGAAACAGAGGAAGAAGCCTGCATCCACTGGTTCCCAGGCCACAAGCAGGGAGCTGGAAGGGACGTGGAGCAGCCAGGACACCAACTGATGTCCATATGGGATCCCAGCGCACGCAAGGTGAGGACTTTAGCCACTAGGCTATGACACCGGGCCCCAAAATATGTCTTATGTGTTAATCTCTATTTGGCTGTTAGCAATTCTGCAAACATTTGCCCAGTGTCCTTATGTGAAACTGTGCACCATTAGCAAACTATTCTTTTTTGAGATTTATTTATTTTTATTGGAAAGTCAGATTTACAGGGGTTGGAGAAGACAGACAGGAAGATCTTTCTGCTGATTTACTCCGCAAGTGACCACAATGGCCTGAGCTCCGATCCAAAGTCAGGAGTCAGGAGCTCATGGGTCTCCCAAGCAGGTGTACGGCCCCAAGACTCTAGGCCATCCTTGACTGCTTTCCCAGGCAACAAGCAAAGAGCTGCACGGGAAGCATGGCAGCAGTGACATAAACTGGTGCCCATATGGGATCCCCTCCCCTTCCCTCCCCTGCCCCCTCCCCTCCCCTCCCTCCTTCCTCCCCCCCCCTCCCCTCACATCCTGTCCACATGCAAGGCAAAGACTTGCTAGGTTACTGCGCCTGGCCAGCAAACTATTCTTTAAAGAACGAGCATTTCTAGGTCATTCGTAATTCAACTCAGGTTTTAGTATATGGATGCCCACGTTTTGCGCTTGCTTTTTGGTTGAGAGGACAGTGGCTCAGTGGCAGAGCTGGGATTTGAACCGAGGTTCCAAGGATGTTGTCACCCTCTCTTGGAGCAAAGTTACACGTGTGTGTCGCTTTTTCTGTATCCAGCCTGGATACCAGATTTGTAAAATCTTTCCCTCCTATCGTGTGTGATGGCTTCTATCTCCTCTCCGTTTTAAATTCTTATTTTCTCATTTTTACTTTTAATCCTCATTCTACAGAAATTGTCCTTCAGAATGCACAGCACAGTGGCTACCCAGTGATAGCTTATGGCTCAAGACCATGAACCAGGGAGTCTTCTAGTATTTTCTGATGCATCTATGTGTGGGTGAAAGATACATTCCAAAATTCGGGCCATTTTCAAATCTGTTCCAGTTCTTGATTGTCTCCACAGCTCCTGTCTTGTGCCACCTGGGTAACTTGGCATCTTGCTGCATTTGGAGCGTGGTAAACACCAGATGTTGGAGTCTGCTGCTGGCATGAGCGGGAGCATGCTCTAAAACAAAGGAGTCTGCATCGTGGCACCGAGAGTTAGTTGCCTCCTGCAATGCGGCATCCACACTGGAGCTCCGGCTGTTTCTTTTGTTTAAATTGTTTTATTCATATAAGCACATTTCATGAATTTCACAATACAGGAGCCTCTTCTGGATCTCCCAGTGTCGGTGCAGGGTCCCTAGGCGTTGGGCCATCCTTGACTGCTTTCCCAGGTCACAAGCGGAGAGCTGGATGGGAAGTGGAGCTGCCAGGACATGAACCAGCTGGATCTGTCTTTTGCTTTTCCAGCTTGCGCCGCTGTGAGCTTCAGATGAACCATCTGCCTCGGCTGCTGGGGTACAAGAAGGAAATAGAAAGCTCACTTGCACATTATCCATCACCCATCATCTGGGCAACTGGTATGTCCTGGGAACTGCTTTCCCACAAGTAGAGAAATTAGAATATTCCTGTGAACTTGAACTGTTAGTAAAATTCAGCCCCTACAGACTAACCTTCCTCCCAGGTTACTCCCATGACCAATTGAATGGGTATTAAATAACACAGCCTTTGAACTCCCTCTAGAGGCTTCCTTAATATCTACTCCTGAGACAAAATTCCCACACAGCAATGTGACATGTTAATAATACTGTATATGCAGGCGTCTGCCTAGGACGGCGGAATTCTTTCAGAGTTGATCTTAGCTGATAACTGTCATCTTAAAAGTTGCAACTTTTTTCTTTTTTTCCATTTATTTTATGTGAAAGGCAGATTTTGCAGAGAGAGAATGAGAGACACAGAAGGAGGCCTCCCATCCATTGCTTCTTTCCCCAGATGACCTCAACAGTCATAGCTGAGCCGATCTAAACCTGGAGCCATGAGCCAGGAACCAGTTGCTAGGTCCCAAGGACTAGTCTCTACTGGTTTCCCAGACCATAAGTAGAGAGTTGGATGGGAAGTGGAGCAACCAGGGCACAAACAGCATCCTATAAGGGATGCTGGTGCCGCAGGGCAGAAGATAAACCTGCTGTGCCACCATACCAGCCCTGGTTCATTATAACATTAAATAATGTACCTGGGATGACTTTTTAGCATCCATATTTGAACATGGGCTGCATGTGAAAACTGGTTTGTTAATATGCACAGTCAGTGGACTTTCTATTTTTTTTTTTTTTTTTTTACAATTAATGAGACTTTAATCAGTTTTGTGTGGAGTTGATACCACTAAGACATAAAGGATTTTTAAAAATTTATTTACTTTTATTGGAGAGTCAGACATACAGAGAGGAGGAGAGACAGAGAGGAAGATCTTCCATCCACTGATTCACTCCCCAAGTGACCAGAATGGCCAGAACTGCACTGGTCCAAAGCCAGGAGCCAGGGGTTTCTTCTGGGTCTCCCACATGCAGGTGCAGGGTCCCAAGGTTTTGGGCTATCTTCAACTGCTTCCTCAGGTTGCAGGCAGGGAGCCGGATGGGAAGCAGGGCTGCTGGGACATGAACCGGCACCCATATGAGATTCCGGCACATGCAAGGTGAGGACTTTAGCTGCTAGGCTACCCCACCAGGCCGGAGAGAAAGGATTGTTAACAAACACAGTAACAAATGGATGTGATTGATATGAGGCATTACTCCGTCCATATCATTTTTGGTTTTGTTGTTTGTGTATTTTTGGTGTATTGCGATTACACACAGGGACAGTGCTGTACAGTGCAAGAGCACCTGAAGAGAGAGACATGTTATTATATGTTTTATCTAAAACATCTTGGACTTTGGCAGTGGCTGGGAGAAGGCACCTCTGCCTGTATTTTAGGTAAAGCTCCCATTTTACT